ATATATATATATAGTATATATATTGTAGAAAATAAATATCTCCACCAACAAAAAAATTGAAAAAACGTGCTACTGTTTTCTTTCAGGACTTCCATGACACTATGCTGGAACTGGAGCGGATGAAAGAACTTAATGAGAAAGCACTTCTGATCCAGAAAGTCCTGAGAGGATACAGATACAGGTTTGGGGAAAAAAAGCTTGGAAATGACATTTATATTTAGCTTATGTGACTTGCATCCTCATGTCTGTATGACTCATTCCCTCTAAAGGAGGGAATACCTGAGGAAAAAGGCAGCTGCTCTTGTCATTCAGAAGCACTGGAGAGGACACAAAGGCCGAAAGCTGTACAAAGTGGTGAGTCACTGTTTCACACATTACCATCTATTAATAGGAAATGCAGGGGATCATGCAATATCCCCCTTCAATGCTGTTCCAACTCTAGGTCCAGCACGGCTTTGCCAGGCTGCAGGCTCAGGTCCGATCCCGCCAACTTCACTTCCTGTACAAGAAGAAGCGCGAGGCGGCCGTCGTGCTGCAGGCCCGAGTCAGAGGATACCTGGCCAAGAAGGAATGGAAGCGCAAGAGAGACGCTGTGATCCTCCTGCAGGCACACACCAGGGGGGGGTTGGCCAGAAAATCAGTCAGAAAGATGAAAACAGATGTAAGTTTAACCAGAAGAACTGTGAAGACCCCTCTCTAAGTGACACCTGATGGGGGTCAAAGTCCCTGCTGGTTATCTGTTACAGTTCTCTGGCGTCACCCAGCCTCCCTATCAGAGGAGTTCATGTAACCTTTCATCAACACCACGTCATGCTCCAGATGTCCTTCGGCTTATTTTACCACATATTTATTTACATTTAGTAAATGTCGGTATAACAACAATTTGAATTTAAATATGATATGAATATAAAAAATCTACTGTTTTAGTGTAATTATGTATGTACAGTAATATTCATTCCCTAAAGACATCGATGTGAGTGGCACCTCTGGTACTTTGGTTACTTTGACTGGGCAGGAAGCTTTATCCCTGATCTTCTTTTGTATTCTTTCAGATGTACCTCTCTGCCAAAGAGAAAGAAGAAGAACGGCGGGTGATTTTGGAGAGACAGAAACATTTGGAGGAAGTGCTGAGGCGGAAGAAGGAGATGGAGGCCAAAGCTCAGAATGAGGCCATCACAGACCAGGAGATGGTGGACAGCATTTTTGATTTCCTGCCTGTAGTGGTTGGAGGGCAGGAGGGGCAAGCCCCTGTAGGATTTGAGGTTTGAATAAAAATAGGCTTTGCACATTTGGATTTCCTTGTGAAGTCAGTCACTGTATGTCTGTTCTGTTTTCAGAAATTTGAGCTGAAAAAGACAATTACTGAGGAGATAGACATCGACGACGTCCCCATGGAGGAAGATCTTCCCAGAGGCGACGATGATGACGACCTGGATGAGTACTCCTTCTCCAAATTTGCCTCTATGTACTTCCAGGGTGCAGCCACCCACACCCACATCCGCCAGAGGCTGCGGCAGCCCCTGCTCTACCACGAAGATCAAGGAGATGTCCTGGTGCTTCCCTTAGACTGCGCTAATTCATAATTTCTCTGGTTCTTATACGAGGAACGTCTTTGTTGGCCATCAACTTACCATTGTGTTTCTGTGATGTTACCTTCAGGCTTCCATGACAGTGTGGTGGATCATCCTGAGGTTTTTGGGAGACCTCCCTGAGCCCAAGAAGCAGGTTCGAGGAAGCTCTACGCAGGAGCGCTTCATGCCGCAGGAGCTCATCTCCAGAAAGGACCGACGCCTCAGCCACATGGTCGGCCTGGATCAGGTAGATATCCTGACAGAGAGCAGTATTATGACATTTTGTAGATTTACATTGTGTAAAATCATGTTGTATTAGGGCCATTGTAGGTCAAACTTGTACAGATGTACAGAACAGTTGGAGGGGGTTAGTTAGAGTAGTTCATTTAGGAGAAAAAAACGTGGATAAAAAAGACCAACTCTGAGATCAAAGGAAGTAATTCACGAGAAAACAATCACACATTGACTGCCAAGTTCAATGTGCTTAGGTCCTCCACTGCAGATAAAAGTGTTTCCTGATCCATTCTTGCATAGTGAATCGGTGTGGTTACTTGAAACCCTTTTCTTCTTGCAAGTGTTGGCTTTCTTCCTGGAAAGTCTGTGAAATAGTTTTATCTCAGAGTAAATACACTTTTTCTCTGGAAAATCTATGACTATCACATATACTTTTTTTAATATAACCCTAATGCCCAAATACAAAATATGAATCTACAATGACCTTTCATATACATTGTACATTTATCATATATTTAAATTGTATTTCCTGTTGAATATTTTAGAGGGTGCTGAGGAATAAAAAGGAAAGGAAGGCTTCCACATTACCCGAGGAACCAGGACAGAACAGGAAGGGCTCCATGTTCACAGACTTGCTGGCCAGGAACAGGAAGCCTTCTGCTCTGCCTGCAGAGGCAGCAAACCCCAAGGTGTACACTGTGCCAGAGGGGAGCCCTCGAACCAGGAAGGGTTCCACATTCACTGACCTACTGATCAGAAACAAAAAAGCTTCTACTGCTACAGAAAATGCACCCCCCACCTCAAGCCTCAGGAAACCTTCCATCATCATGGAGGAGGTGAGGTTTAGGACGAAGAAATATTCTGACTTGCTGTGAAGTTTTATTCTGTCACTTATATACTGAGGGATGTCTTCTTTCTTTCAGTCCGACGATCTGACGGAAGTGTCCAAGCCTCCCACCCTGCAGAGTGTGAAGGAGGATGGGGACCTCATGGAGGGGGAGGGGGAGGGACCCACCCTGGACCGGCCGCTGACCTCACTGGAAAAACTCCACATCATCGTGGGATATGCCATCGTCAGACGTGACCTTAGGTAACAGAAGATCCATTTAAAAGTCACATAAATCCAATATCACCAATACACTTATATATATAGACAATGATATTCTTTTATTACACATTTACTGAATTGTTAAGTTTGAATTAAGTATTTCCTTATTAAATATGGGCAATCACTTCCAGAACAGTAGTCTGCACATTGAATCATGCCAGGTTCAAAAGTGAAGTTTCATTTTGCTGTCTTTTTTACTAAGGGAGATATATTTGTATTAAAACATAAATAAAAAAACATAGTCAACAGTCATAGAATAGCCATGTTTTTAGGAATACAATGTTGTATAGGCCTGGATATGAATGATTTATGAACAACTGTTCAAATCTTTAGAATATAGATAGGAGTGACAGTTTGGTGTATGCAAGTGATACTCAAGTGCAGATTGTTGAATCAGCATAGTTTTAGAAAAAAAGTCATTAGAACAGGTTTAAAATAATCTCATTTAGCTTATTAAAAGAGAAATCCACAGAAACAAAGATACAAAGTTGGCAACATAAAGCCCTTGGATGCCTTCTTTCTGCTAGTCTGAAAAAAAGGCATGTAATGAATTCAAAATAGCCCAAACTCTTACCAGTGATTAAAAATGTATGTGCCTAGTGTCTCTCTACTATTACAGGATGTGTTCTGTTGTCTGTCCAGGGATGAGATTTACTGTCAGATCTGCAAGCAGCTTCAAGACAACAACAATCGCAACAGCTACTTCCGCGGCTGGATCCTGCTGTCCCTCTGCCTGGGAGTCTTCCCCCCCAGTGATCGCTTCATTAGGGTAAACACAGATCTCTGATCAGTGTGTAGCATGCTGTGGGATGACTCTCACCTCTTCTCATCTCTTGCCTCGGCAGTATCTGCAGAGCTTCATCCGGTTCGCTCCAGGAGGCTACGCCCCGTACTGTGCAGAGAGGCTGCGGCGCACCTTGCTGAACGGAGTGCGGGGGGAGCCTCCAGCCTGGCTGGAGCTGCAGGTACTGCCACTCCCATAATATGCTCATGCTATTATTTTAAATGTGTTCATATGCGTTGCATTTATAGAAATTGTAGAATTAAAAATCACAGCTACAGCAGCCTAGTGTTCTGAACCATTCTCTAAACTGAAGGATTATTCTGAAAAAGTCTTAAATTCCTACGTTTTTTATAAACCAAAAGGTGTTTTAACTAGGATGGTTTTCAAAGTGAGTGGCTTTTTATTTATTTTGCTAGATAACTTTCTGAGAAAAAAAGAAATTAGCCGGGGAATTGTTATGTCTTTGGTCTGGATAGTATTTCAAATCATATACCTTATTTTTACATTTAGTACGTACAGCAGATGCCCTTCCACAGCAAGACTTTGACCCTTTTGCTCATGTATTTGCTGTGCAAAGGATTGTGGGTCTGAACAGCCAGAAAACCATTCTAGGTTTCATTCTGCAAACTGCGACTGGATGCAGAAGCAAATCCTGTATTTAGCAAATGATGTATTTAGACGTACTACATGTTGGGATAAGACATAGTGTGGTTTTATGGGTATTGGACATACCGAAGGTTTTGTTGTTGTAATGCTTATTTCAGCCACAAGAGGATGAAGTGCACAGCTACCCCTGTTCTAATGTTCCCATTGTAAACCTCGCTGTCAACAGAATGAACTTCACACGCACAGTTTATATCAATGCTGTTTAATCAACATGATTTGTTTGCCTGCTCTGTGATAGGCAACCAAGACAAAGAAGCCCATGATCGTGTCTGTGAACCTGATGGACGGACGCTCCATCAACCTGCCGGTGGACTCCTCCTCCACCTCCAGAGAGATCTGCCAACTGCTCTCCAACAAAATCAAACTCAAAGACACATTTGGCTTTTCTGTCTACGTCGCCTTGTATGAAAAGGTGCGCAGTTCCATCCTCAGGTGTAAATATTCCTGTAGTAGGCGATAAGGAGATCTGCTATTATAAAATGATCTCACCGATTCGTTGTACTTTGTTCTTTACAAGATATTTTATTTATATTTTTTACTTGCCTTCGATAAGTTAAGACTCATGTCAGCATTAAGTCAAAGTAGCTTATGTAGCGTATGCCCCATAGCTTCTATTCATCCCTTTTCTGCATGTAAATACACTTTACAATGTAAACAGATGGGGTCAATTTTTATTGTAATAAATAATAAAATGACTGGGCCATGGTAGGTGAGTAATACTTAGATGAAAAACTCTCTCAGATTAAAGGGGTCATTTTACAAGGAAAAACTCATATATTCTCATTCATTATAATTATTCATTGTAATAAGGTTGATTTAGCCCTTGCAAAGCGAGAACGGTCCTTTGCACTTTAATCTCAGAGAATATTACATTTTTGTGAGTTTTTACTTTTAGATGTACCTATCAGAGAATATCCGATATTCTTTTGGATGTTAAAAATCATTTGGTTTTGAACCTTTTTTCCCCCTTAGAAAGGTCCTAATATGCCACTTCATGTTTTAGTGATTTTAAAATACCTACAAATCCATACCTTAACACACTGACCTGTCCTGAAGGTGTGG